TGTATTGCAGTTAACAGCCCTCCTCTTCTTAGGACTGAGATCCTTCAAGGTTCTGAGTTATATGCCTGCTAAGATGTGTACTTTTTTAGGGAGACTATTTTAAGTTCACCCAGCCATCCATGATACCATAATGTCATTCAAATCCTGCCTTTCCATTAACCATGCAGCAATCTAGGCCAGGAGAAATATAATTGCCCATGATTGAATAATTTATATCTGGCATTCATGAGCACAATTTCCAGATAGTATCATCAATTGACTCTCAACCAATATTGTGCACAAGGTACAGTGACACAATCAAGCAGTGACATGTTGAGGAGCATATTCACCTAACAGAGAAACCGGTTTGTGTAGAGTAGTCTTTTCCACCCAAAAGTATACCAGTGGTTACAAGTGAGCTTGTTTCATCATATCTGATGCCTGCTTCAAGATGTTCAAATGTGGAGCATTCACTTTAAAACCCCCCGTGTCTGAGCTTGACGCTCGCGAATATGTGCAGACTATTTCAAGGTCACCCAGGTATGCATGGTACCATAGAAAATTCATGCGATGGTTTTCACCTCATTGGCCATGTAGAGCTCTGAGTCACAAAAAATATTGTCATCGAATTGTTCACGTGTTCATGTCTGGCATACGTGAACACAATTTCTGGCTTCAGTGGACTTCAGTTGGCCCTCAGTCAATGTGATGCGTTTTATGCATTCTTGGAACACGAATCTCGTCTTGTGCCATATAATACAGGACCTTGGTGTCCGCTGGACTGGGGTCCGGTGCCGGCCTTGTGATGTTGAGCTGATTTTGCTTTTGATCTAAGCCTCGCGTTGTAAGTACGAAAGTGCCTAGCTGAGGCTTGGTTTTTCTTTATACAAAGTTCAAACGGAGCCATTGGCTTCAGATTCGGCTTCGCAGTTCCAAGCTTTAAAATCGCCGGCTTCACATTCTACTTCGGCTTCATATCATTGTCGTGACATGACAGGATACGGTTTAGAAGCCAGAAACTTGGCTTTGTTCTCATGCCTGGTTGTTACATAGATAAGTACCTTAGCTTGCACCTCATGACCATAGACCACGGCTCGTGGGACGCATGCGTGCTCTCTATGCAACGAGTTGCGGTCGGTTACCAGTGAGAAGTTCTATTGCGCTTTCTTACATCATTAATGGAATGTGGGGGTTGAGACCTGTCGTGACGGAACCGGAACGGACGTTTGAATTTGTTCCACGTCAAACATTGATACAAAGCCGGGCAGCTAATCGTCAAGAGAAAAATGTTTGAAGCACTTCCTTAGTAAGCGGAATCATCAAGTGTACAGTGACGGTCGGAAATAGTTTCTCCGGTTGGTGCGAAGTCTTAAGTGGGCTCACTCAACGACCAGTGCCAGATCTGGCACAATTTGTTACCTGCGAAATAGACGATCTGCCTTAATGCGAAACAGCGTGAAATGTGTACCGGTGATACAAAAGTATACCAAATCTTCTATAGTAGAGATGGCGCAGGTGCACTACAAGAATACCTTGGCACTTTCATCAACGTTGAGATAAATGACTCTTCAAGTTTGATGCTTCCAAATGTAAGATCATGCACTATAGGTCTACAAACCCTAAGTTTGAATGGCACATTGAACAGGCGGACAAAAAATAAATCAATGAAGGGGGCCATCTTGGAAACATGGCTGGATATCTTGTGGGCGTGAGAACGAGTCCGGATCCCCCGGACCCCGGAAAACCTAAAATGTGTGTGTATGTGGGTGGGGGGTCCGAGGTCCAAAGTTGATAAGTCCGGCGACTCGGTTGGCCCTTCCTGGCCACCAGTGGGCATTCTGGTAATGTAAGAGCCCTACCAAGTGGACCTCGGGATGATCGAAGGACGCTTTGATCGCTCAGGGGTCGCGTTGACTGCTTGGGGCTCTGTGTATCGAGGGTATAATAAGGAGGCGCTGTTCTGGGTCTGAATAAGAACGAGCCCCCATGGGGCGTGAGGCGGGAAAGTGGTTAGCTCTGAAGCCGACAGCCTGTTCGATGGCGGGGTGAGCTGGGGATGGGCTCGTGTCGTGCCGGCCGTGCCGTGCGGCAGTTGTGGCAGAGCTGGTGCGGCCGGCCGACCCTCAGCTGGCTCAGCTCGCCACGCCAGCGTCCCGGCCCCGGCAGCCCTGCGCACCGGCAGGTGACCGGTCAGCGTCGACCGCACTCCTGGGGCGTGGGTGGTGACCGCGCCAGGCTGTGGTCATACGGGCCCGGGAGCCGCACTTTGGCTCCACCAGCCGATGGCGGCAGGCCCGTCGAAAAGAGACTAGACGGGGGATGGGGCAGACACAATTTTGCGCTACTGCTTTCCACGCAACGCCGTGGGGTCAATGTTAAGTTTTCAATGTATTTGGCGGCTGTCTTGTTTGCTTTTCTGTCCCCTACCTCCACCGTTGATGCTGCCAGGTTATCCTCGAAGCGAGGGCTGGTCACTTCCGACGGGGTGGCGTCCCCGATAAGGCCAGTGAGATCATGTTTCTTGCCACGTGTGTCGCCCGATGCACGTCTGGCGGAAGGTGGTGCTGCCCTAGTCAAAACACTAGGAGTGCGCGCAGCATTTTCTTTTCCTGGCCGACCGGTCTACGGCACAGACCAGGTGCCGGCGCATGCGCTGTCAGCGCGGGGCACGGACCGGGGCCGGACCCGGGGGCAGCACAGCCGCCGTGTCCGGCGCCGGCCGCCCGCCCGCCGTGTCCAGCGCAGGCCGCATCCCGGGCCGACAGGGACCGAAATCCGGCGCGTGATAGGGGCCTCAGTCCGGCGTGTGAGGCGCCTGTTGTATGCGGGCCCCGAGCGGCTTAGCATGACGCTAATGACAGCCCTGCACGCGCCTGCTGAGGACCGGACCGGGTTGGCTGGCGTGGAGGCTTTCTACCGTTCTGTCGCTCCGCTGGGGGCCGGTGAGACCGAGGTCGGACCGAGTCGGCTGCGTAGAGGCCCCTGCCGCCCTGATGCTCCGCTGGAGGCCGGTGAAACCGAGGTCGGACCGAGTGGGCTGCGTAGAGGCCTCTGCCGCCCTGTTGGTCCGCTGGAGGGGGGGGGGGGGGGGCGGTGGGACTGAGGACCGGACCGGGTCGACCTGCGTGGAGGCGTCGGCCGCTCCGTCGCTCCACTGGGGGCCGGTAGGACTAAGGTCACACCGGGTCGGCTGGCACGGAGGCCTCTGCCACTCTGTCACTCCTCTGGGGGCCGGTGGAGCTGAGGGCCGGACCAGGTTGGCATATGTGGAGGCCTCTGCCGCTCCGTCGCTCTACTGGGGGGCGTTGGGACCGATGTCGGACCCGCCGGGGTCCAGTCGGACCGGGCTCCGTCTCCGAGCAGGCAGAGGCAGGGCAGCGCTCGGCACGTGCCGAGAGCGGAGCGCTCTGGTGCATCGCTGTCGGCGCACTCGAAAGCGGTGCGGACACGGGACCTTGGGCACGGACAAACGGGTGCTGCTCGTCTCGATGGAGGAGACGAGTGCACTGCGCAGTGGCACTCGTGGACGCATCGATCGCTGTCCGCCTCCGGCGCCACGTGATCGAGTTCCGAACTTTTCAAACTCCATTCTGATGCAGGGCTCTTTGTTCGAGGACATCGTGCCGACCTCAAGTATGGCCTCTGACTTGGGCGCTTGAAAAATCTTGGCCTACGCCGGTAGTAAGATCAATTGAGCTTCTTCACTGTGTCTTCAGCGAAGTCTAGCTTTGCACTGCGCACTTCCTTTGTTACCATTTACGGCCACAAGACCTTGCGATGGAATGCTAATGACCAGGTCCCTGTTCGTGTATTCATGGGTTCCCTTGTTGCTGACAGGTGACAGCGCAGATGTCATGGCCTGATAAATGAACCCTCTGGTAAATGAACCGCAATTATTGCACGTAGATCGTTACCTGGTTTGTGTTAAGAACGGAAGTGTCGTGAAAGCCCTGCTGTTTTGGTTGCTCGCCGTCGTCTTCCTCGCGTGTTTTTTCTGGGGCGGTGTATTTTATGGCGTCGGTAAACATGGCGTGTTTGGGCACTATCGGGCGCCGCCGCTGCCGGCGGAACTAGCGAGCGTCTCAACGGCCAATCTGCAGGCGGACCCCGTCCTCTGGCGCGTGAAGATAGTGCGGCGCCGGCGTCGTTTGGCGCTCGCCTCTGCGTCTCCGGGGCGGCGGCTGAAGAGTGGGCAGCCTCGGGTGACACGGCCGGGCGCGCGGCCGCTCGTTACCAGAGACGCGGCGCCGGGCCCGCCGATGTCGGCTAATTGCGGGAGGCGCGCCGCGAGTGCGGACGGTACTCGCGGCGGGCATTGATCGCGCGCGCGCGCCGCCGGGCCGGCCGGCGCCGAGCTCGTCGGCGCCGCTCGGTGCGCCTGCACTGGACCACAAGGCCGGCAGCGCGCGCTCACCGGCGCGCCTGCGTGCCGGCTGGCCAGCTGACAGGCCGTCAACGGCGCGGCGTCACAAAGATCTCGGCCGCGGCCGGGGTCGATCAGGCGAGCGGCGCCGCCAAATCTTGTCGGCGGAGCGGGCTGCTGTGCGTCTGTTGGTGACGGCTGGGTGGCGCCGGCAGCTGGCGGCTGCCTCCGCACAGTGGCCACACATGGCCGCGGCGCCAACATCTCCTAGGCACGGGTGAGATCCACCTGCCGTGCGACGCGTGAAAGTGGGACAGCTGTTTGTACAAGACGTGATCTTCTGATACGTCGACGATATTTTCATCGACACATTTCACTTATGCGATAATGTTTCACTCTTGTACCAGTTGTTGATGCTGCAGTTGTGAAAGACGATTTATCAGTGCTATGGGATAAAACCGCCCAAATGTAGGTTCTCCTTTCAAGTTTCATTACGCTATTGCGACCATCTCTACCCTTTAAGAGACCTTTCTGAAGCCTGCAATACATATGCAAACCGAAATACAATGTAATGCATATAAATCAATCCGCAAATTATATTGCGTATGTGTACAAGTACATGTCATAGTCGCTTGGCAATACGTGTCCCAATGACCATGGTGTTGCCAGCCGCAAACATTGGAAAAAGGGGATAAAGTGTGTTGTCATTATTTCGGCTATGACTCGCTCAGAACAGCGTGTCCTTTTCTGCAGGTGTCGTGAATATATTGTCCCGTGAGGGGCTGCAGAAATAATTTTCTCTCTTTCAAATTGCTGAGATGATGCCGCTCAGGACTGATCAGAACGCTTCCATCACTTCGAAATCGCTCAGACATTTATGCGGCTGTCGCCAGACCACCTAGACTGACTAGAGTACTACCGTATGCGACGGTTGACGGTCTTGCTCCGAATAACTTTGTGAAGTGGCTTCACAGTATCTGCGGTGCGTAGCCTCGTCACGGAAAGACCTATGCGCGAATGCTGTGCTCAGGTATGTGTGCTGAATGTCGTGCCGCCTCTTGGCATTGTCTTGTTTGTGGATGACTGTCCATCAGCACGGACAGGCAATCTCTCGTTTGGTGAACTGTTTGCGGTCGGGCTTTGCTGCTGCACACACATTCCGAACCAGTTGTTTCACGGTTGAGTGCATCGTGGACCAAACGTGTATTATAATGGGTCTGTCCTTGTCGATACAGTTCCTGTTCCGTCCGCCGTCTTTGTTTTGCGACTTTGGGAGGTGAGGCTGCAATGACTGTCAGACCATTGCTTAAGATTCTATCGAGCCTTCGCGTCTTGAAGGGGATGTTCCACAATTTGGCCATATTGAAGCAAGCATGAGATATGATGACATACACTTACTTATAACTTTTGGTGCACTGTTAACTGGAAAGGACTGCTCTAAACAACACAAGTTAGCTGTTTAGTAAATATGCTCATCAATATGTCATTGTTTAATCACGTCATGAGACGTCTGTATGACATTGAGGTGCTGCTAAACTAGCTTTGCGAAATTGCCTCACTAACACTTGCTTGTAGCACCTCAAACTCATGGAAAAATGTCAATTTCAGTGCTGAAGGTGTTCGCTGAGCCAAATAACGTTGTGCTTGTGTTTTTTTTGCCCCTTCTCCTGGGGTTCTTGCATATGGATCCGGGCAGGCTGCTGTCCCGTCTGTGCCGTCACCTCTCAGAGGCTGTTTTGGCCGGTGGGCTGGCCGCGTCGCCGTCTCTCCTCAGAGGCTGCTCTGGCCGGTGGACTGGCCGTGTCGCCGTCTCTCAGAGACTGCTCTGGCCGGTGGGCTGGCCGTGCCGTCGCCTCTCAGAGGCTGCTCTGGCTGATAGTCAGGCCGTGCCGCCGCCTCTCAGAGGCTGCTCTGGCCGATGGACTGGCCGTGTCGCCGTCTTTCAAAAGCTGCTCTGGCCGGTGGGCTGGCTGTGCCGTCGCCTCTCAGAGGCTGCTCTGGCTGATAGTCAGGCCGTGCCGCCGCCTCTCAGAGGCTGCTCTGGCCGGTGGGCTGGCTGTGCTGTCGCCTCTCAGAGGCTGCTCTGGCCAATAGTCAGGCCGTGCCGCCGCCTCTCAGAGGCTGTTCTGGCCGGTGGACAGGCCGTGCCGTCGCCTCTCAGAGGCTGCTCTGGCCGGTGGGCTGGCCGAGCGCCCGCTGCATGGGGCCGTTTACTGTGCCGTGGTCTACTGACTCCCGGGTGTGTTTGTGAACGTTTGAGTGCGCGCATGCATGTGTGTTGCGTACCGGGGCGCGTCTGCGGACTGGCTGTGACCTTTGCTGTTACTTCCAGGCGAGCGAATAATGAGGTGACTGAAGAGGACGCCATGTATGACCAAGGCGGCCCGTCGGGACGACCGGGCGCTGCGGCCGCCTCGTTTGCCGACACGGGCGCCGATACCCCACTCCGCCAGGAGGAGAGGTACGTGGTCAGAGCACCGCCGCCTTGTGCCCAGACACCTCGAGCTGACAGGGGAGGTACGTGACAGGGTACCACTCTCCAGCCTCGCGAACCTCCGTAGCGTGCTGGCGCGTGACGCCTGGCTGTGATAGGGGAGGCACTTGCTAGGACAGGACGACGCTTGGAGGATCTTGGAATTCTGTAATCGCTGCCTGCACATGGGCATGAATATATTGGCGCCATATGACCATTGCGGTCGGCGCACCCTAAAGCCAAGCCATGATCATCAGGAGCAAAAACAACGTCATCCGGCTGGCTAGCCGGAAGAGCGTTGCAGTTAGTTCTCACATGCCAACACGGGCATAATATGAATGCCGCTCTCCACCAAGAGCGAAGGCTTTGTGGGACGTATCTGGCTCAGCGCGCTTTCAGCTGAGCTGTGGCATCGATCCTATGTCTCGCGCCCGGACGTCATCCGTCGTCAGGCACGTCCGCGGCCGTCTCCGGCCGTGCTGCCGTCCGCTGCTCGCGCGGACGTGCTGGCCGCTGCCGGCCGCCGCGGCCACAGGCTCGCCGGCGCCTCACCGGGCGCACGGCCCGTTCCCGGCGGCCGATCAAGGACGCGGCAGCGCTCTGCGTCGCCGGTCCGGGCCCGGGCGCGGCCGGAACGTGCGGGTGTGGCGGGCGTGACGCCCCGGCGCCGCGGCCGCCTGGGGGTCGCCGCCGGCGGGCCTTGGCGGCGCTGTGGCCACGCCCGGTGCCATGCAGACAGCTCAGTCGGCCGCAAACGGTCGACCGCTGACTCAGCGTCGTGTCGGCTCTGTCTGAAGGTAGACGCATCAGAAACAGACCCACGGGCCAGGGAAAAAGCGTCGATGGACCGTTCACGTTGACCCTGACTGCCATCCGTCCGGCCAGTAAAAAGCGCGGTCCGACCAGTCGGCGAAGAATGCCCCGTGCTGATCGATCCTTTTAGTGGCGTGGCAGCCAGAGGCCTGGCCCCGTGGCGACTGGCGCTCTTTTTATACATGCCGAGCACGCCCGTGATGACTGATCACTGGATGCGCAAGTAGGTTATTTAGCAGTGAGAAAATGCTATTTGTTTACCTGCAGCGAGCAGAAGGCAGATTCCGTTAAGCAGCATTTCAACCCAGCAAATAACGATTAACTGTAATGTTGTCACCTTTGCTTTGTGTCCGACCGTAACGTCGTGGACTTAAACGAAATGGCGTGTGAAAAATCACTAGGGTGGGAAAAGTATGAATGCATCTCTCACGAGAAAAAAGAGCACCACTGTTATCTCGCCAACTACAGATCGAAACTGTGGGAAATATTACAACTTTCATAACAAACTTAGTTAGCAGAAAGTTACCGAATGAACAAGGAGAGTATGCTGTAACTTTCAACTTACTCAACCTAATCAGTTTTCGGGTAGGCCCAACGTCTTAAGCCGCTTGTTCATCCGAAGAGCATCTGAGAGATGATTGCGACGGCGTTAGGCAATGTCTCAGCCTTTTAGGTTTGAGTTGCATGCATGCCAGTTGAAGTGGCCAGAAGGCACTGTATGCTGATGGACTATATTGATTTTGTCGTCGCGGAGGGAACTTCGTCTTGGCGGCTTTGTTGGCGGAGTTATTTTTATGCGAAGACGGCTGCATCGCAACGACCTGATGTGACTGTAAAAGTTTATCGCCACTTCAATGAAGTGGGTCTTTCCTGCAAGACTCGCCCAGCTCCACCTCAGCCGTACGCTGCAGGTCGTAGTCACGTGGCGTCGTGCGTTTGTGCTGCTGTGGTTCCCGGTGTCGCAGCGTTTGCAGGGGAAAGCATCCTGCTGTCCGGCGTGGCCCGGTGCGGTCAATTGTCGTCACGCAGGGCTGGCGTCTGGGCGTGCCGTTGTGATGGGTGTGCGTTGCAGCAGGGGTGGTGCCGCCTGCCGCGCTGTGGCTGATGGCCACGGTGTCTCGGTCTGCCTGGCTACCACAGTGTCTCGGTCTGCCTGGCTACCACAGTGTTTCGGTCTGCCTGGCTACCACAGTGTCCCCGTCTGCCTGGCTACCACATGGTCTCGGTCAGCCGGGCTTCCACGGTGTCTCGGGCTGCCTGGCTACCACAGTGTCTCGGTCTGCCTGGCTACCACAGTGTCTCGGTCTGCCTGGCTACCACAGTGTCCCGGTCTGCCTGGCTACCACAGTGTCTCGGTCTGCCTGGCTGCCACATGGTCTCGGTCGGCGTGGCTTCCACGGTGTCTCGGTCTGTCTGGCTACCACAGTGTCTCGGTCTGCCTGGCTACCACATGGTCTCGGTCGGCCTGGCTTCCACGGTGTCTCGGTTTGTCTGGCTACCACAGTGTCTCGGTCTGCCTGGTTGCCATCCTCCAAGCACCCAGTTCGTGTTTGGAACACGATTTCGCGCTCTGTATAGCATACTTCTACTTTTTATTGAAGTCTACCTATGCTTTCTGGAATGGAGTGTTCCTCATTTATATGGCGTTTTGAACTGAAATAGCCATCTTGAAGATTATCTGGTGTGGTCCACGACCCTTCTTTAACACGCGCCCGGGTGGCCGGCTGGATACCCTTCGCTCGGGGGGGGGGGGGGCAATTTGATCCCCTTAAGATCTCGGGAACAAAGAGAGTTAGACACACCAAATTTACCGAGTGTGTTGACCTGTATGTGAATTCACTTAGGTCAAAGTTTCAGGTTCCTAGGTCATGACCTTCTGGTCAAATGAGGTCAAACAAGGTGGTCAAATTCCAGGTTGGTCTCCAAAGTGCCCCCAGAACCTAGATAACCGCTTTTAAGCAAAAGATCACATGCTCAGCTAAAGTCATTGACCTTGTTTGACCTTTTGAAGGTCATGATGACCAAATCATACAAGCTGCTCTGAGTTTTGCATTTAAATTAGCGACAGCATTACGCTAGGCAGTATGTGCCGAAAAACGAAACGTTGACCTGGGTCATTTTAGGTCGATGACCTATTCTGACCTGTAGGAAGTCCACGGAAGAAGATGTATAATGCGGTTCCTGCTATCAGTTAATTCGAAATGAGCACCAGAAAGTACCCCATACAGCAAGCCCTAGAGTAATGAAACAGGTTGGTTTTGACCTTGGTCTGATCTTCATACCTGACCTTAAGTCAATGTAATTTGCTCATTCAACTGTTGTGTTGCCTAAGAAAGCATCTCCAAGATGTGTGGCTTCGTCTAACGCTCCGTTGTTGCATCAGAATGAACGATTCCCTAGAAATTGACTTCGCTGAAACCATGGTCTGACTTTGACCTGCCATAGGTCAGCGACCTTACAAGGTACATCTGTATTTTTGTACTAAGCGATCTGCTATTCAATTGTCTAGAGCTATGCAAAATTTGACGTGACTACGCCGCGCCCTTCGGAAACCGTTCCGGCAAGACCTTCGGGGGGTGAATTTAACTCCCCACCAAAGCGCGTGTTAGTCTGAAGCCCTTCTAGCTCCTGAGCTACACACCCTTAAACATTTGCAGGCTATTTCGGGAACTTATTTCAAGGTCACCCAGGCATCCATAGTACCATAATAACGGCGTTCAAATCCTGCCATTCCATTGGCCACGCGGTGAACAAGGTCAAGAAAATATAATTGTCGAGTCTTTCATATCTGACGTTGATGATCACGATTTCCAGACATGACGGCCGTCAATCGGCTTTCAATCAGCATTGTGCAAGATGCGGTGACGTAAGCAAACAACGGCGTTTTGAGAGCATATTCATAGCTTGTGTTTGATAGATTGTGTTGTCTAGATAATTCTTTTCAACTTAAAGGTATACTTATAGTCATAAGTGAGCTGATGTCATCACAGCTGATGCCTGCTCCAGTAGCTTCAAGTGTGGAACGTTCTTTTTAAGGCAAAACACTTAATGTTAGTTGATAGAAGGTGTGTGTCAGCACTGACACTGCAAAGCGTGGGTCCATATTACTGTGGTTATTCTTATGGTATTGCACTGTGAATACGGAGCCGTGTTGACCGCGACATGGAGAGACTGGCCCATCTGTTGGACCAGGCCGAGTTTGGCAGCGTGAGCGGTGTGGCGCTTGTGGGACGCGTGCGTTGGCTGACCGCGCCGCCCGCTCTCCGAACGTCTCACGAGTTCAGCCGGCCCGCTCTGCCCGGCCGTCCTCATTGCCTCTCCGTGCCCGATAATGGCATACTTGGGTTGCACACGGCCGTGACCCGGCCCTGCTCGGTGATGTCGGTGTCGGCGCCAGGGCCGGCTCGCCTCCTGGACTTTCCCTGTGTCGCAAGACGAGCGCGGTGCGCCGCCGCACAGCGGCCGCCCTGGCTTTCCAGTGCCTGCGTCGAGCCAGAGTCAGAGCCCGCCTGCCGTGGCTCTGGTCTGGCTCTGCTCTCGGCCGTCTCCGTCGGACAGTGTTGCCAGCCGACGACCGACCGTCAGCGTGGACAGAGATTCATCAGCTCAGTGGCTTGCTATCCCCAGAAATGAGATGTTTTTTACCCCGCTCGAACGAAAGTTGGGTCGTCTGTGTTTTTTTGTGATCGGTTAAAAGCCTTGACGTATTGCTGTTCGCGGTTCGTTATAGGCGTCGGACGGTGGCCAATTATAAATAAGTGGTACCATATAAATCGGCCGGCACTGCTAATGGTGAAGTGTTGTCGATAACCTTGGCCAAAGAAAAACAGTATTTCGTACCGCGGCGATGGGCCATTGTTCACCTTCAGTAGATGCCGAGACTAATCAAGCCCCACTTCGAAGCCAAGGCCAGCGGATACGCATTTTTAAAACGTGGAGCCGAATCCGTTGTCAGTTGCTTTGATCTGTCTACACATGAAGCAGGATCTAAAGCCAGCGGCTACCAACCTAGGAATCGCGAACCCAAAACCAACCCATCATTTTAAGAGTACGAGGCTGAAGGTGAATCGAATCTGGTGTGCATCGTTGTGTTGCGAAACCATAGCAATTTTGCGTCTGACTGCCTGAGGTTATAGAATATCTTCAGGGTTTTACAGTGATTGAGACAAGGTGCA